CCTTCGGCCGCCGGTCCTGTCCGGGCCCCGCCGGCTCCGGGCTTGCTGGCGGAGAGAGGTGGTGAAGCACGGGAACTCGGGGACCGGTGTAGGCGGGGCGTGGATGGGGTGGGGGGTTCCTCGAGGGCTGCTGGCCGGTGCGCGGGGTTGTCATGGTAACCCGTTGCCTGAATGCAGGGCCAAACCCGTTGCGTGCGTGTGCGGAGCTGATGGGAGAAAACCGTGAGCTGGGGCTGAGATCCCCGTGCTGCCGTGCTAGGAGAGGTTGCTGGTGAAGCCCACCTGCCTTATTAAAGTTTCCCTGCAAGTTAGTAACACTTGTTTCTCCCCGAACTTGATAAAAAATACATCCTTTCAGAAGACAGTCTTACCCTGAAGGCTCCAAAGAGTACCAGCTCCGGCCTTGCCTTGGTAAGTCAGTCCGGTGTTAATTTCCTAACAAAGAGGACGCTTTATGTTTTACTTCAAAGCTGAATTGTCAAACGAAGGCCTACAGCCAGCTGTTCTCATCAGTGCTTTCACTGGCAAGGCTTATCCTGTTTCAAAAACTTGTATGTTTTAGTTTTGGATATGTTGAGTTGCATATGTTTTTGTTATGTCATAGTCTTCTGGAGCATGACTGTTTACACACAAGATTGAGTTCACTCTCTGGCAAGGAGAGTAATTTTTACAGGTTGTTTTATTTGTCTTGATATCTGCATCTTCCAGCAGTATTCCATACAGTTGTCTTTAAGAAGTTTTGGCTGCTTTTTCCTTTTGATTGTGGAAATTAGTGTGGAGAAGCCTTTGGGGGGAGGACTCATGGAGGAGTAGACTACTGGGTGTTTTGAAACAAGAATTTCTCATAAAGAAACATGCTCATTGTTTTGCTTACTTCTATTTGGGCACAGTCTTCGTGAGGAACTTTGTGTGTGTGAATGTTCTTATGATGATGTGGCTCTTCTTATTGCCTTTGAGCAGAGGATGCCGTCAGACAACAGCCACCTGCCAGACAGTATCCAAGAACAAGACCCTGTTACTACTTCAAGCAATAATTGCCTCCATAATGCTGAGGAATTGGGAGTCGAACAAGAAAATGACATCTGTAACAGTGACCTGGGTAATAGTATTAGAGTTCCCAACTCTGCCAGCCAGTCATCCACTTCCATGGCTGTTCCTTTGGAGGTGCCCAGAAGAGGACAACCCCTTTTACAGATCAACAGGCAGCAGATTCAGTCCATCTCGTATAGTGCACAGGCCGCTGAGCTCAAAGGTTTAGGAGTTGATGTCTATGACCAGGATGTATTGGAGCAAGGGGTTCTTCAGCAAGTAGATAATGCAATTAATAAAACTAATAAAGCAACAAAAATAGCTGATGCGGAGAAAGAATATCAGTCAGTGCTGGATGACTTAAGGTAAATTGTGTCCTTTCTTACTGTTCCTTTCTGTTACTGACTATCTAATGAGGCTGTCTCTCATGTTTTTAAAAGGTGGAAGATGAAAAGATGTTTTGAAAGCACTAGATCACATGTATTCTTCTAGGTCACCCACCTTTGAAAAAAGGAGAAAATATTTTTCACATCAGAGCAATGCTTCGTTGCTCTTATTTGACTAATTCAGTCACGCACCAGGGCAGTAGAGGACAGCGCATCTCCTTTTTCTGCTTTTCTCCTACCTTACCAAGATGCATGTCTGTTTTCTGGGCAGTGGAGAGCTGCATTATACTCTGTTATTCAAAGTTCTAGTCAGAAAGAGTGCCGCTTCTTCAATTCTGTATGCTTCATGGGGTTATCTGCTTCTGGTTTTGTGCTTTCTGTAACTTGGATGACTCCACATCATGAGTGTACTAGAAGCAAAACAACCTTATCACAAGTGCTTGTATGAAGTACTTAATGACACTTCAAAAGAATCAAATGCTTAATTAACATGGTATATTGATAGTAGAGGACTCGGAGGGATAGGAGCCACTAATCTTTTGAGTTTTGATTTTACATCTCCCTTTCTGTTTCTAGTCTCACTGTAGAGTTACTGTGTGAACTACTGCAGGTAAATAATTCTACCTGTGCATCTTTCACTGTATTGCCTTAGTGGTGTTTTTTAGTGCTCAAGAGTGCTGTAGGCCTCCATTACCTACGTGAACTCTCGCATAGCTCTCTTGTTATGTGTATGCTTAATTTTATGCACTTCATTAATTTTCCAGTTTGGGTGTGGAGATGTGAAATTAAGTTTGCAAAACTGGAATCTAATTTCAGATGTTATGTAGCGGAAGGATGATGTCATGAGTAAGATGGTCATTGAGAGGAAGAATGGAGCAGCGTAACTGTTGCAATTAGATTATCCGGTTATTGAAAGTGGTGCATGGCACTGTCAGTTAGTTGGTATTTTCCTGTTTTTCTTTAAGAAGCATCCTATGATTTTTCTCACCCCTCTATTTTTCACTTTCCACTTAAAGTTGTAAAATGAGATTTACATGAGATGATGCAAATGGTTTATGCAGACCTGTAGCACCTTGTCTGTATAAGATGCAATGTGCAAGTCTGAAAGTTGATTTTGGAGAAAATTAGCAGAGATACAGCTGGCTTGTTGAGCAGAGGGACTAACAAAAGTAAAGACGTATGAGTAGAACGTGATAGAGTTGGTTAAAGTCCTGTAACACGGTGAATGCGTGACTAGAAGTAAAATCAGGCAAGAAGTGTTTTTTGAGTAGTTGGCACAGAGTTCATGGTAGAAGCTGCATGATTCTATAATATACACACAAATTTAAGCAGAAGAAGGAGAATAAAAAATGGTTGAAGTTAAATCCTGTTTAAATTCTGTAGTCCTGTTAAATAAAGCTTTGTGGAAGAGGACAGTAGCGGTATGTGTCAAGAGACCCTAGGGCCAAGGAAGCAAGAGCCAAAAGGTAGGAGGCATGCAAGAGGATGGTATACAAAAAAGCTACAAAACAGAAGACTGAGAAAGAGGATGGGGTGGTTCAAAAGTGTTGAAAGAGAATGGAGGGGTGAAGATGGCAGTGATAGCTGGGGAGCTGGTAGAATATACCTCCCAGGAGAACAGTGGTAGAATCCCGATTCGAGCTGGAGAGAAATGTGGCCCAACAATTTCCTCCCTGACAACTGAGGAGACTTACGTAGTGCTTTTTTTTGCATACAAGGGGAATAATGGCCGCTTTGCAGATGTTGTAAAGAGTTTTCTTTGACATTTTTTATAATGCTTTGAGATGCTAATTTGTGTATCCCTATGAAATATTCTGCTATTTGAATCAACAAACCTAGATATGTTGCTTCTGACAGTGGGGCAGTGCCTCCTTCCTTGCAAACGAATTCTACAGCAGAAACAGATGATACTAGGTTATAGCATGTGGTTCAACCTGAATTTCATATTGTGTATGGAAACGTGAAAAATGGTACTGCATGAGTAGCAAAAGTTTAATGCTGATGTGCTGTTAATTCTTTGAGCTAGTCTGTCTTCCTGAAACTGTATTTGTATCTTGTCATCTATTCTTTGTGTAGAAGAGAAATTGTAAAGGTAAAAGAAATAGGCTTCCTTATATAATGGCATCAAACTATTAATTAGAAAACGAAAACGTGGGATTTCCCATTTAGATTTTTGTTTTGCATTTTGTTTACCTTGAATAATAAAAGAAACCACTATCACTTGCTTATTATCATCATCAGACTTGTAACTTCTGAGTATTAAATATTGCAGTGGTTTGTTCGGTTTCCTTGCTTTTGGAATTTTAGTATTAGCAAAATTTTGTTTAAAAATATTTCATGATGTACAACTTTTTAAAGTGTTTAGTATTTCCAGTGTTGTTTAAATAGAAGATGCTTATTTAGAAACTTACCTTTAGACTTTTTTAAATCTTACCTTAAATCTCCTAGAATTTCTAAATTGTCTGAATTGAGAATGTGCTATTTTTCTTTCTAGAGTTGACTAGTACGTTGCAATCTTCTTGTTTTTTCAGATCATGTACAACATCTCTGAAACATATAAATAAAATTATTGAGCAACTTTCACCTCAAGCTGCCAACAACAAAGATATGAACAGAAAACTAGATTCTGTAAAACGGCAAAAATATAACAAGGTGATTGGATTACATTAATTTCCAAAAAACAATACTTAGCTTGTACTTTGGCTTAAGGTTTGAATCATGTGATATAATTCTTGCTTAATTATGTAGTTCAGAGTCAGTCTACAATTGCTGTTCCTTCCCTTTTAAATGGTTTAATTTTCTACCAAAAGATGTAAATAACTAATTTAAAGATGTGAAAGTGAGAGCTGAATTTTTTTTTTTTTTTTTAATTTTTATTCCGAGTTTCAGAAAAAGCTGTAAAACTGAAGTTCCAGGACCTGCTTGGAAGACTGATTTGCATTAATTTAATTAAATCCTTCCCAGTAGTATTTGGAGAATTAGCAAAGCATTGTTAGGGCATGATTCAATAGTTGGCCTAAATCTCAGCCCTCGTGGTCTTCATTCCCTACCTTCCTTTCCTTAATCCTCTTTTATTGTCTGTATCTTTCTTGTACCAGTACACATCATTCCTTTCTGTGAGCCATTTTAACTCATCGATTTGGCAGAAACTGCTCCAGCTTTTTTCTGCCACAGTAGTAAGTTAAAGGAGCTTGTAGAGCAATCTGGCAGGCAGCAGGGTAATGTAAGTAATAGACCTATACAGCTGTGAATAGGAAGGAGATTTGAGAAAAGGGAAACTTCTCCTGGTCAGGAATGTAGCACTTCGATCAGCTCACCGTCTGATGGAAATTCACCCTAATATTTTCTCTAATGATAAACCTGACTGGACAATTATTGTCCTCTGCCCTCAGACACTTATTCCCAGCCTCAGGCCGTTTGCCACTGATTCATTCAGTTGTTTGGTTTTTAACCTTGATCGTTTCAGCAACTTGGATAACAATGTGCTCACAATTTGGCCAATTAAGAGAGTGAGGGGGACAGTACTGAACAGTGGCACAGGACTAGGAACAAGTAGCTGCAAGTAGTGGGAAGAAATGCGTTATACCAGACTTACCACTAACGAGTGATCATCTGATTGGACACTGTATTTTTCTTGTTTTCCTATTACATGAAGTAATTTACACAAGTGTTAGTTGCAGGGGAAGTTCAAGCCTCGTTGCGAGTTCATTGTTAGCCATCTCTAACAGTCCTTGAAGTGTAAGAATAAATCCCTGTATGAAAACTGTAATCTGTAAAAGTGGTCCTAATAACCTCAAGAGTGTTTTGGAAGCTGTTTGGAGGCAGGCAGTATGTTTAAAGCTGGTCTTGAGCTGCTTTTTGCATGGAGAAGTGCCTTTTAGTACTCTTCCTTTTGTAGTATTTAAAAAAAAATTGTTAAAGAAGACTGAATTCTTCCGTTATTGAGACAAATGGGAAATTAATGACTGGTACAAGACAGCTATTTCCTTAGAGCTGTCATACAGGGAGTGTTTTATGATATAAAGTACTCTGGTAGCAAGAATAATAGTGCATACACAGGAGATAATATATTGTACCGTACGTGAATATACTTACTCTTTGTGGTTTGAAAAGTGCTACATGAAGATATGGGCAGGCTAGTGAACCGTTCTTCACCAAAAAGGAAAAAAAAATTGCTCATTTTGCCATGAACTTGATTTTTACTGAAGTATGTGCCTGTCTAGGTAAGGAAATATTTCCAAAGAATGGAGTTACAAATGTGGAAAGTTACATTGCCTATGTCTTTGTTTTACTGGTTGGAATTTCTTGTTTCATAAATGAAAGTTAGCAACACCAAGGAATCACAACATCACCAGAAAATACACAGTTGAGGATGTTACAGTCGGATAAAAGGTGTAACAGAAGACCTAGCTATGAATTATTTTCATAGCAGTAGTGAACTATACTTGTTACAGCATCTGTAATGTTGATTTTTTTCACTTATTTAAAGTCATTTCACTTTGTAGTTTTTGCTGTTAAATTATCTGGGACCACTCCTGAATTAACTGTGTACAAACATATATTAGGATGATGGAGTGATTTACAATTTCAGTTTCTTTCTAACAAAACATTCCAGAACTTCTGGGATGATAAATAAATCTTATTAAATCTTCTAGCTGTTTTTAGTGGCTTGCTAACCATTAACCCAGTCTTGCAAATCGTGAACAAATCTTTTGGTGTTCTCTGTGCATCTCACTAATCTGCTTGATGGACTTCCTTCACTAGAATCAACACATTGATAAAATGACCTCAAAAGATGTACATAAAAATGCATAACATGCACATGAAATTTGTGTGTATAAACAATCTGATCTTACTGTATGCACATCGTAAGACAATTGTACACACAAAATTGTGTGTGTTCTGTGGGTTGGAGCCCTACAGATACTGTGGTGACACTTTTTTGCACTTTTTTGTTTCAAATGTGATACTGTGAACACTTGAATATGAGATTCTGGTGGAAAATACTGCAAATGTAGTAATTTAAGTCTTGTTTAAAAGGATAGCAAGTTTATGAACCAGATTAAACATTAAATTATGTTTAATTTAACTTGTCATTCAAGGAGCAACAGCTAAAGAAGATCAAAGCAAAACAAAAGCGTCTCCAAGCAATTCTTGGTGGAACAGAGATTCTTGATAAAGTAAATGAGATTGAATTTGAGGAAGATGAAGGTATGGGAAAAGGCTGAAAGTTCTGTTCTACTTTGATGTAATGCCTTTTTTTGTTTGAAGCTAGTTTGCAAGATCAAGGAAATAAATTTCAGTGGCTTGCTTTCAAAGAGCGAGTTAAGAACACTTATTCTCTGCACCTGCAGAATTGCAGATCTTGGCATATTCATGTGGGAAGTTTTTAAAAATGGATGTTAATCCACGTTCAGCTCAGTAGGGATGGCTGAGGCACATTAGAGTATTGGGCTTAATAAATTGGAAATCCTAACATTTTTTCACAGCTAATTTGATAAAGATGACTAACATCATGATTGAATTACATTTTATGTGCTGAATGCTATCAATCAGCATTAACAAAATTGTTTTTTCTTACTATTGGGAAGTATCACTAGAAATGGAAGGGGGAAGTGCTTCTCTTTTACAGGCTGCACTGTGATTTTAAAAAAAATAAAGATAAGGCTTCTTCCAAAGCAGGATATTTGTTCTCTCAGTGTTTCACTAGGTGTTCTTTCTCACTGCTGACTGCAAACTGAGCTTGGACTTTGTAACTTCAGCTTGGCTGTGTCTTGGTCACAATCACTAATCTGCAGTATTCTGCAGGGCAAGTTTGGACCCCATTGACATCTGCGCATCACCTTTGGGTTATATTGTTGTTTGCAGAGGTGTAAACTCTGTGCTATTTGTCCATTGCAGATGTGGCTGGAGTGGATTCCAGATCTCACAGAGCTCATGCTTTTCTCCTGATTCAACAAAACTTACAGGAGTCAAAACCTCAGTAAACTTTTCTTAGTAGAAAAGCATCTTTAATCCTTTTTCTTTGAATGGGTTCATGCAGTAAAACTCAGACACCCAGTGTGATGAAATGTAACTAGGAAGTGAATGGAGCCCAAGACAGAAGAAATGGAGTTGAGCAGTACCAGTAGTTTGAGAAACTGAGGGGGTGGAGAGGGAGGAGTTTCATGCCTGATGCATCATCATTACCTGTTAAACATGTTTTGGTGATAAACACAGTGCTTTAAATGGGACCATATACTATGCCATGCTGGCAATTCTGGTACAGCTATTTTGAAATTTTTGGACCCTAATAATAGATTGCAGGCTGGACTTCAGCTTCCTGAATCCAGAAGCTTTTCCTCCTCTTTGGTTTCAAACATCAATTATAGTTTGTATTAATATGTATAGTAACTGTGTATGCAGTTTAACGGAAGTGCTCTTTTATGGCAAGGTGCTGTGCAGCCAATCTGACTTTCAAAGTCATAATCCTAATATTAGTATTGTAGAGTAGGAAGGTGGGGTTTGTTTTCTTTTTTTTTCTTTGAAGCATGTGGGAAGACAGTCTTTTATGTGTTTTGGAAGATTTGTGTCTGTCCTGGTACGGTAATGGAAATGTCAAATTTCAAGCTTATTAATAGGACTGAAAAATCAGTAGTAAAATAAAAATGGACGATGTTGCTGTATATGGGAATGCAGTGGTTTCTTGCACTGAGCATGGTGACATGGGTTGAATTGGCAGCATAGGGAGCACAGTAGAGTTCGTGTGCCATGGGGGACTGTAATTTTATGGTAGTTCTTGCTGCTGTGTGTTGTTGCAGAAGTTATTTGCATTTTGATAATATGTGTAATGTTTCCTATATGAAGTTTGAGAAGTAGTTTGAAGTAGAAGTTACAGTCTGACTTTGTAGGCCTTCTGTTTTGTTGGGGTTTGCCTTTTTTGAACTCCAAGTATTATGTGTGACAATACTTTGGACTTTTAAGTTGTATATAAAAACTGAAATGAATGCATATAAAGCTTGGGGCGGGGGGAACAAAACAAAACACCCTTGTTCCTGTGTTTGAGTTATTCAGAAAGTGTTAAAGGCATGCTGGATGTTCTGATTTTTGTTGTAGAACCTGGTCCATCATGTCTTGGCAGTATGCTTATGCCTGTTCAGGAAACAGAGTGGGAAGAGCTTATTCGTACTGGCCAGATGACTCCATTTGGAACTAAAATATCTCAGAAGCCAGAGAGGAAGACACGACGATTAATGCTAAATGAAGAATCTGATTTTGAGAAGTACTTAGCAGACCAAGCTAAGCTGTCATCTGAAAGAAAGAAGTTATCCCTTCACAAAGGAGCAAAGAAGAAAGTACAAGCCAAAAATGTTCAGTGCGTAGCTTCTGCATCTACTACAAAGGAAAAAAGAGGTAAAGCCCTGTCAAAAACAGATAAGCGCTTAAAAAAAAACATAAGAAAACTTCAGAAGCATGCCCTTCAGATTCAATCAAAGGTGGATATCCCAAAAGAAAAGAAATATCTTGAGGCCAAGAAGTTCAGGTATGAACAGGAGGATGATAGTGGAGAGTCTGAGTATGTACCTGATGAGGAGCTCTTTGATCCAGAAGGAGCAGAAGAGGAGGAAGAGCAGGCATCTTCTCATGCTGAGAATGATTCTGATTATGAACTCAGGAATTTGTCAAGAAAAAGAAAACATTTGGCGAAAAGAGATTTTAAAGAAGCTGAAGATGATGCTGACTTCTTTCCAAGCTCTGAGGAAGAAGACCATACACTGGGGAAGCACAAAGTAAAGAGATGGAGAGATGATGGAGATGAAGACTATTACAAACAGAGACTAAGGTTAGTCCTAGACATTTGTATTAGTAACATTCACAAATGATGTTGAACATGCAAAGGGCAACGTCTGTAATACGCTGCTAGGAATTGAAGTAAGGAAGACGAGACAGACAGAATGATCATAGCCTTCCAAAAGGAATCAGACATACCTCTTAGTTACAAGGACTTTGCTGTTAGATTTTTCTGATTGTTAGAGGTCCTTCAGTAATAAGCTATTTGTGTATCAGTGTGTGTTTTGCTGTTTGCAGAACTGTGAATGTGCCCAAAATTGAGTATATATGAAACAACGTATTACTTGGCAGCTTTATACTTTTATACAGTACTGCCTTTGTCTGTAGATCATATACCTACCTTTCAAAAAAAAAAAAAGAAAGTCTTCTGTTTGATAGGCAAAATTACAGTGCAGTCAGACAATGCCCTCCCTCTTCAGAGGGATGGCACCTTTCCACCGAGAGAGAAATCTTTGGTTTGGGATGGGGTGAGATGCTTAGTTTTTGGCTTTGAATAATTAACTGCTAGTCAAGAAGAAATCATTTGAATAAATTATGGTTACATACTATTTTTGGAGAATCTGTTAGTTTATTGAAATCCGAGGCAATTACATATAGTTTATATGGCTAACAGGTTTATTTGAAAATCAATATTAAAAGGATCTTTTGAATTTAAACTTCTAAAAAATTTATACTGGAAAGGACAATATCTACATTATTTGATTATTAGCACATGATATCTCTTGCATAACTTGTATTAGAAGACGTAAGTAATGAAGACTGGACATTTATACTGCTGTTAATCAACTCTAAAAAGACCTACTCTGTTTGACAGTGGTTTTCCTCTCTCCGTTCTTGATGAGAGTGAGGGTAAAAACATCCTTATCTGAAGTGATAGTGACAGTGGTGATAGTAGTGGTGTTTTCTGTTGCTATGATGACCTAAGGTTGTAAACTGAGTAAGGTTTCTAAGGAGAATCTAGCATGTCAGGTGGGGAAATACAGCTAGGAACACAAGGTATTTTTGAAAATGGCAGCTGAAACACCTTGTGCTGATCTGTGATTTATGAAATTTGTATAACCTGTGTGTTGATGATCTCTCTGTAGCTACGGTGTGCTGTTGAGATGTTTTCTCTACTGATAGCATAGCTGTTGAGCTCCTAACAATAACTGAGCAATGTTTCCATTTTCACAACTGCCTGTTTGAGGGGGCAACGAAGTGACATGTAATTTGTTAAGCTGTTAAAATGCTAACTAGACATGCCAGTGCAGTTAAGAGACATTTCTGCACATACTGGGAGTCAAAAGATCAGGATCACTAAAATGGTTGTTTTGTTTTAATTGTTCTCTAACCACTGGCATGTTGTCTCTTTTTTAGAGTAAGGGTTGAGCTTCATATAATGAACTTCAGCTTGTTGATAGCATGCTTACTTTTAATTAATTACCTTTACTGAATGTCCTTCAAGTAGTTTTATAGTCCTCCAGAAAATCGTGGAAAAACTTGAAGACAGCTGCTCTAGAGTGAAAGGAAGAATATGTATTAGGGCTGTCAGTGAAGGGTGATTGATGCAGTGATAAGGCCTAGCATAGGAACTTGGTTAATGCTTGGGAGACTCGAATTTTGCACTTCTATGGAAACATAAAAATCTTCCGGATTTAAATGAAGCTGTATCAGAGAAGGGTTCAAGAAGTAGAGGTATAAACACCATCTCTTCCTGTGGTGAGAGCCTGAGCTGCTGTGGAGGAAGAGGTATCTTCTGATAGCAGAGGTACTCACAGTTGTAGAATTACTGGTGACAAAACCTCAGGTAGGAAGAGCCCAACTTTACTTTCACATCCCAGGTTACAAAGGCAGATCAGGAGCTGATATGAGGCAATAGGTTTGCAATCCCAGGATGCTACTTTTCAAAGTTAAAGCATAGTTTATTGCTCTTGAATAGAAGATTTCGGCAACAGGCTAATCTGAACAATGTCCAAAGGGTCAAAAAGAAATATGTTTTTCATTGGATGCATTAACAGAAATTAATTGTACTTAATTGGTAAAATATTTACAATTTTATTGAATAAAACTGTACTCTTCACATTTAAATTAGACCAATATTAAATCATTTTTAATTCAGTGTTTTCATCAAGAGTAATTTATTTTGATTGAAAGTTTTAATATGACTCACAGTTTAAATTCATTCAAACACATTTTTTAATAACGTTAAGATTGTGACAATTTATCCTTAGCAAAGTCATATCATAGACTAGATTTCTTTTGGTTACTAAAGTTACAATAAAAGCCTAAATGAATTTTAGAAATATCAATAACTGTAATTGCTACCAAAACACTACATCTCTTAAAAATTTCATAGCTACAGTTATTGTGGCTGTTAAGCTGCAGCTGTCCACATTGACGTTTTTATGCTGACACCCCCAGGTAATCTTCATTATGGGAAATGCCATGAGAAAATAAAATGTAGTGAATTAAGAAACATATTAAGAATGCTATAGAAATGCTGTCATTTGCTTACATTTATGTCTTATTTCATGTCAGTTTTACTTTTGAATGCAAACGAATGGGTGAGATTATGGTATATTTTACCCCTGAGAGAGGCAGGGGAAAGTCCTTTAGGATTACTTTAGTCTTCTGAACATCTAGTCTTGTGCGTGGCGCTGAATACAGTCCTACACTCTTAAAGATTGAAAATGAGTTTCCTTAACATTAAAACTTTTCGGAGATGGGACTTGAAGAGATTGGTCTGTGTCAAGGGGAAACTACGATGATATTGTTAAAGCATGATAATTAGCTAACTGCGGGACTGCAAAGCATCTCTAGAAAAAGAGACTGTTTTCAGAACAGGAGCTGGTGTTATCTGCAGTAAACGGCAGGCGGGAGAGCAGCTGGCTCTTTCCTTTTCTTCTAAAGGCTACTTGCAGTGGTCGGGCTAGTCACTCAAAGCAAGACGTGATCAGTGGAATGTGAAAAAGTAAAAGTTAACTATACAGAATTCAGCTCATGTTCTCAGTAATTTCAGTTCTTTTCCCTTGCGTGGGTCTTGCCTTTCTCTTGTTACTGTTACTGGAGCCATGTTGCTGTGCAAACACGCAGGGGAAAGTCTTCTGTTCTGAAAAGGTTAACATCTAAGGTAAATCGTAGCTTGCAAGAATAATGAACAGTAGCAAGGAACATCAGGGTTATGGAGAGTAAGGTAAATAAGTAGGATACTGTCAAGCAGCTAAAAGGTAAGTTTAAGTTTCAGTGAAAAGTAGCGTAGCATCATTCCCAGCTGTCCTTCATAGTGGCTATTACCAGCTGAACCCAGAGGATTAGGTAATCAGTCTCTAGGATGGTGCTGAAGGTCTCAGTGACTTGATCCCCATCAGCAGGCATGTTATCGATGTATATTTTGTCATACTCAACAGTGACCATCTTGGTCTAGAAGTGTTCAGAATTGGCACTGGTAGAATCAACCTGTCGCCTCCTGCCTGGTGAAATGGTCAGGTCATGGCAGAGCCAGTTTCTTTGAAGACTATGGAATGAGTGAAAATGCACCTGTTTTCAGCTTCTTTTACCTAGGATCACAAAATAAAAGTAATCTTGTATGCAGATTAAATGCATAGGAAACACACCTTTTCTCTGTTCTCAACAGGAAAACTGCTGCATGGTTTTCCTGTATTATTCTCAAGACTTTGCAGATGTGGAAACTGCAACTTAACAAGATGATTTTTTTTTTTTGCATATTAATCAAAGTTTTCCTTTGCATATATTAAAATGCAAAGCATAAGTATAACCAAGTAATTTTTGCTGCATATAGTATACGTCGTTAATGAGTTACATTATTGACATCACTAATACAGGATCTGCATAAGGTAATAGCTTGGAGTCAAAACAAAACAAAAAACTAGCAGTCTTACGGTCACTATTCCTGTAGCAGTTGTCAATATGTATCTGCCTGCTGCTTCAAGGAAGGAATTACAGGTCATGTTATGGGAGATAAGTGCCATATCTGTGTTTTCTTGTGTATTCTGTATAGTTTGTGGAGTACAGTTGTTTGAATTCTTCAGTTGCTGTCAAGTGCTCAGAGGCAAGGCTAGGAAAGCTGCTTCTTTCCATGTCTCCCAAGTGGCATCCAAGCAAGCTGAGTAGCTAGAAGTAACGGCTATCAGTGCACAAAGCAGTTGATACAAAGAATCAAACCAAAAAATAAAATTAGCTTTAAAATAAGTTGTTTTTCTCAAATCAGCTCAGTTTTCATGTGCTAGCTCTTTGAAGTATCTGAGTCACTGAATCTCTTGATGTTTCACAGTTATAAATTAAAAAAGGATTAAATATTACCTTTCCTGAAAGATACTTTCTTAGCGCATCCTAACTGCTCTTTAAAATGACAAAGCCAAGACACAAATGAAGATGTATTTTGGCTCACTTGCTGAGTACACCTTTCATTCTAAGCTCAAGTGTGTAATTGTCTACATCAGTCTTAACTTACTTACGGAGACTTGTGGTACTAACTGCATGTATTTCATCTGTTAGGACGTACCAATTAAATCCACCCATATAGACCATAAAAAGTTAGATCAGAAAAGTAATGCTGAATGCTTCAATTTAGCAAATTAGAATAATCTGTAAGGGATTCTTAGCTGTATAAAATGGAAAACATATTGTGCTTCACAAATGCAAACTATATTAAACACTCAGCTTGGTTCCTGACTGTATTTTTAAAAAAAAAAAATCAAATTGTCTCATTACTGGTTTGGATGCAGAATTTCTTTCTAGGGTATTGCAATAAGTGGGAAATGGGCTTAGTATTGGAATACATTCTTATATTAAGAAAGATTTAATTGTATGATATATGGCTTTCATACTGTACTTTCAGGATAAAATTGTATTTATGTCAGTGACCATGGACAACACAAAATAGATTTCTCAAAGGTCATGCTTTTATTTTCAGGAGACCTTGGTGATATAGTAAAACCTGTATTTTCTGATTGTTCAGGCATACTAATGATGTTTAACTGAGGTGCGCAAGGAGTATATTGACCAAATGGTCAATATGTTACTGTGTAGGTAAGTCAAATATGAGCTACTGCTGTTTCTCCCTCCAAAGTTTGACTTCTGAGGAAAGGTACAAGACCAGACTGACCAACTGACTGATCTGGTCTAGCAAACAGCGTTTGTCCTCCCATTGCTTCAGCCATTTAGATATTTACACTTTTTTAAAGAAAGTAATGACGTTTTAGCGTAGAGTAACTTAATACAACATCTTACATTAAGTTCACAGCCTTTCAAAAACTGGATAGCTGCTTCAAACTTTGAAAGTTGTTAGTGGTAACAACAAATTGCTGCTTTTTCTTTTAACTGGTAATTGAGGGCAAAAAAACCTCCAGACCTTTGGAACAGATGTAGTACCAGAGCCTTCAATACTACAGCTTGTGTAATGATACACTTCAGTAAAGTAACAGATACAGTGTGTATAAAATAAACTTTTCTTTAGGAAAATTAAGTACGGGATTTATTAGTTCAAATTCTAGGTATCTAATAATTTTAAGAGAAATCCCAACATTGATAACCCTTCTTGCAGAAAATATAGTAATTATATTAAGGTGAAGTGCCTAAATTCCTGGACAGCTATGAGCTAATCTCGGAAACATTTCTTCTTGGTTGTTTCTGGATCACTTTTTCCAATGTACGCTAGAGGGCAATCTGTTTCTTCCCAGGGGAGACTGAGGCTCCAGTGATGGCTGGTGGCGATTCATACTGGAATATAGAATTAGAAGCAAACTCTTGTACAAATTATTGCCCTGCTTGAGTTTAATATGGATTTTTTACCTAGCTGTCACTTCAGAAGCTTTGTAATCTACAATTGTTTTGATTTTAGCGTGCTAAGTAGGAGTTTTCTTCCTTGGTTTGAGTCTTGTCATAATCCAGTCAGATAAAATAATCAAATTCTGACATGTCTCAGTTCCAGTAATGACACAGTCTGAAGCAATGACTGTCAGCATTTGTCAATTTGAATCGTTGGTCTTTTTCTGGAACTCAGAAGAATAATTGACCACCTGTGCCTGATAGCACAACATTGTAGTACTGCACAAAAATAAATGCATTTTTTTGCTGTGCCTCTAGAATGTATCATATCTGCCTGCTAGACTCCAGAGCATGAATGTTATTTTCCTAAATCAAACATTTAACAGACTGCTAGTCTAAGATAGAGATTTCCATTCCTGTGTTAGGATAGATATATTAAAGTGTCTGTGGGGAAAACTTTGACGCTTTATATATTTTTATTAAGTTCTTTTTTTACTTCTTAACTGGATACATGATTTCATATAATGAAATAAGAACAATCCAATAGTAAACATTAGCAACTCATCAGTTTTTAAACAGAAAACTGAAAACTATATTTGTCCGTCTCAGGTTTTTTTTCCCCTGCATATGCTGCTTTTTCTCTCCATCGTGATTTTTGCTTCTGAAGACTTCCTGACTTAAGAGATCAAAATATATTCCAGTGAAGCTGGATCTCTAAACCTGTCCAGTATTGTGTTGTCTTAGTTTTTCAGTGCAGTTGTTTTTGGCAGTTACTGTAACTTGTGTATATTTGGACATGGTGGTGTTTATTTCCACTTAATAAAACAATACCACAGTTCCAAGTTTGTGACTGGATTCCATAAAGGCAGACTGCAAGTATTATCTCAAAAGATACTGGTGAAAAGCTGATCTAGAAACCTGCCACAATTAGCTTTCTTTTATGAGAAAGGGTATATGATTGTGTTGTTTGTATATGAAGTGTTGAACTTCTTCCCTGTTCTCTTGTTCCTAACCCAAGTTTTTTTAAACAAATTTGCCAGAGACACAGAAACCTTTAAGTGGAAGTTCCAACAAGTTTCACTGAAGTAAGTGGTCAGGAAGACAAGAGAAACTCTATTAATGCTGCCAGTGGAGGAAACACAGCTCGAGCTTAAGTCTTGTTATGAGTTTGCAGATCCTGTGGAAGATGATTTTGAATGACCTAACAGCAAAAAGAGTCTCTTCTAGTGTTTTCACCTTACTTCGTACCAGAGAATGCAGAGTAGTGTCCTTAGGAAGACAGGCATCATTGGTTTAATTGCCCCCAGAACTGCTTATGTAGTTAAAAAGTACAAGGGGAACACTAGACCTTCATTGCCTGTTTGTTTGGTTTTTTCACTAATGTGTTCAAGATAGAAAACTTGAATCAAATTTGATTTTAAATGGTTTTAGCTGACAGGATTTTTCCCTAGTGGAGAAGGCACTTCTCATACCAGGCTGGAAGGAGTTACGGTACTGTACGTGACATTGTGCCAGTCGTGTCTGCTCTTAACGTGACTGAGCTAGATAGCAGCATGGCTGAAGTCTTAAAGACTTGGAGCAACGCTTGAGATGTTTTATAGTGTCTTCTAGTTTGTTTGCCAGGTTGGAAGTGCAAAATGTCAGGGATGGTAGATGTCTTACGGGCAGTTGTTTGAGAAAAATTTTAACAGTGACTTCCATCTCCCTCCTTTTGGCTAGTTAGGTCAGGATATAAATCAAGGTAATGAAACTGTTCAAGTTATGTTTCCATAGCAGATCATATTGTCAACTTCGGGCCAGAAATTGACTGACATTTTTATGATTATGCTTCTTTTTCCTGACATGGATAAAATTGGGCTAGTAGCTTTGAAAATATAAGGCACTCGGCTCATAAGCTTAAAGCACACTGGATTGTGCATAGCAAGGCTGGAAATAAAATACAATTTGCATGTCAACCTCTAGATGCAGTTTATCTTCGAATGCTTGAGAGCAATGCAGAGCTTTACAGAAAAATCAGGATAAATAACTTTAAAAATTTAAAATAAAAAAAAAAAGGACAATGTGAATTTCCTCACATTTTTAAATAGTTCAGAAATCCTTTTTCCCAGAATATGGACTGTATTTTGGGGAAGGGGGTTGGAGGTTTTGTTTTGTTTTTTAGAACTCTGTTAATCCATTATCCTGCCTTTTTTTTTGCTGCTACAGAGGCAACCTAAGCTAACAAGAAGCCGTTTGTGTAATGGGTAAATGGTAAAATCTTATCAGGAGGGAAATGGACTATTCACTCACCTGTAATGTTTGTCATTCAGAAACTGGAGGTGTACTGGAAAGCTGTTGCATCCTGTTAAGTCCTCGTTCATCCAGTTACTGCAGGACTGTTCTAGAGTGCATGCTCCAGGTTTTCTTCAATGTAGAGTTAAAAAAGACTGGACAGATGAGTTTTCCAGCATCTCACTCGGGAGGCTGTTTGTCGCTTAATGCAGTAGATTCCAGTGCTAGGTGGCTTAACTTACTTTTTTTGGCCTGAATTTTCCATTTGCTGCTTTTCATCCTGTCGCTACTATTTATAGTTCTTTGGGACCTGAACAATTTTAGTCTTCATGTTTTATATTTCAGATACTTCTAGACTCTCAGGCCTCCTTCTCCTTCAGCCTTTTTATGAGATGAAATATGGCTGCTTTTGCGCTGCATCCAGAACAGTAACATAAGGAGGTTTTTCATCGGTTCTGTAGCTTGCCAATTTCTCTGGGGATTTTGTCAGTTTATACACCACATTCAGCGTGCCTGCAGTGAATAGCACTTTCATGGGAGAATTCCAGCAAAACCCAAATTGTCAGTGAAGTGCTGTTCATTGGTTAATACCTACCCAGCTAACAGTAGCATACACTTTACTATTACAGGTAGATGTTTTTGGGTCACTAAAACACAAGCCCATAATTTCCTTGGATGTTGAAGATCCCTTGGTACTTTTTTCAAAAGGGAGAGGGACGATGGTATGGGAAGGTAATTCTCTAACCTGCCTAGAGTCCAAATAAGGTTAGGCTGCAGAGCATGAATCACTCTGTAATTTCAAAACCTCAAAAAACTCATTCTCTTAATAATGACTGCGTAACAAATTTAGAGCATGTCACCCCAAAGATGGTGATGTTTCCAACTGAGTTGTCTGTATAAGAGTATACACAGCTGCACATTTCTCTAGGTGAAGGAAGTTAAATAAGTATTTGGTTGAATTAATAAAATAGCTTTGGAATACCTAAGCTTTATTGATATTTTTGTGGGGGGTTTTATGGAGGGTCTAGGAACTTAAGGTAGCCACATTTTTTTGATGGTGTTTGTCCTGGTTTTGGCTGGGATAGAGTTAATTTTCTTCCTAGTAGCTGGTACAGTGCTGTGTTTTGGATTTAGGATGAGAACAATGTTGATAACACACCGGTGTTTCAGTTGTTGCTAGGTAGTGCTTACACTAGTCAAGGACTTTTCAGCTTCCCATGCTCTGCCGACTGAGAAGGCTGGAGGCGCACAAGAAGCTGGGAGGGGGCACAGCCAGGACAGCTGACCCCAACTGGCCAAAGGGACATTCCATACCATGGGACATCATGCTCAGTACATAAAATGGGGGAAAGCTGGCCGGGGGGGCCGCTGCTTGGGGACTGGCTGGGCATCGGTCGGTGGGTGGTGAGCAATTGCATCGTGCATCACTTGCTTTGTATATTCTTTTATTATTATTTATTTATTTATTTTATTTCAATTATTAAACTGTTTTTATCTCAGCCCACGAGATTTCTCACTTTTACTTTTCCAATTCTCTCCCCCATCCCACCGGGCCCGTGAGGGGAGTGAGCGAGCGGCTGTGTGGTGCTCAGTTGCCGGCTGAGGTTAAACCACGACAGTGTTAACTGTTGATTCCATTATATTAGTATTTCTGTCTATAGAAAATTATAAGTAGCTATAAAACTCTGAAGGTGTATAACTAAATAGCCAGGAGTGCATGCACCTTTTAATATGTCAGATATTTTGAGCGTTTACTTGCATAATTCTCTCCTCCAAAGGATTACTATTTAACTCATGACACTGGAGAATGCATTTTTATTGGGTTTTTACCTGATCAAAAATTCAGTATAGTTTTCATATAGTATCTTTTCTATGCAATAATTGAATGTTGACTCCTTCTGTCACTCTAGGAGGTGGCAAAAAGAACGTTTGAAGGATAAAGAACATCAAACAGCTGAGGAACTTTCTGAAGAAAGTGACACTGAATTTGAAGAGGGTTTCAAAGTACCAGGATTTCTCTTCAAAAAGCTTTTTAAGTATGTGTTGTGTACTTTAATATTATGCTGCTGTATGCTGTTAATAATATTAGTCACGGTGATTTCTGGATGCCATTTGCTGTAACTTTTGCTTCAGTGACTGATGCCTCAACTTTTACTTCGGTACTTTCTGTAGGATTATTTCTTTAAAAAAAGGCTCCAGGATCAAACCTCAAAGAAACTAATTTATTACAAGCACAAAATGCAGTTACATGAAAATACAGATGCTAACTGGCTGATGTGAGTATTGTGAATGCGTATTAGCTAAACTACGAATTGAGAAGCTCTCCTTGTCTATTTTTATAAATGCTTTCTTTTATTGATAAGTGCTTGCTTTTAATTGAGGTGTGGAGTGGTAGAATAACTTTACTTTGAAGAATAAGGTGTTGGCAAGTTGTGATAAATGAAAACAAGAAATGTAGGTGTTTCTGTGACTGGGTGGAGTGAGTGAAATTTTCTGCCAGTAAAAAATATAGACAACTTTTTCTTTAACTTCTCCAAGTCTACTCAAAGTAACTACTTATAATTCATATTACAAAATAGTCTTGAACATTTTGCCCAGTAAAATTTTAAAATATGGAAAGTGCATTCTATATTCCTTTAGTAGATGGAAAACACTCTACAACTCATTCTTTAGTTATTTAATGCTGGATTACAGATTTGGACATGACTGCTTTCTGGTTCAGTTTTTTGAGATCATGGTGCCCAGTGACACTTTCAAGTTCATCTCAAAAAGCTATTTACAAAAGGCAGCTCAAACAGGCTAGCAGCTGACAAGTTAACTTCATCCATAATCTCTCTCTTAACTTTCATGCATAACGGGCTTGAATTCGTTTTTGTTGGCAACATTTTGCACAGCAGGGAAGCATCTTCTCTTTCAAAAGCTAACTCTCTAAAATCTTATAATTAATGTAGTAGAAAGCCCTGGTTCATAACAGGCGTGCATGGTATCCCTTCCAACAGGACCACTTAGTCTTAACCTCAAAGAAATTATTACTGTTGTCCTGCAGTTCCTCCAAAGGAAAGCACTAGCTCTGAAATGGAATTGAATTAATGACTTGGTTGCCAGGACCATACACAGCCAATATGTGGTCTCCAGTTGTTTATGCAAAGTTACGGCAGAAGTAATCATCCTGAGAACGGATATGTGGTCTGAGCAACCCGAAGGGAATTGAAATAAAGCAGACAACTAAAAATTAATCTTAGAGATATCAGCCTCACTAATGAAGGGTATCCCTGCAAGCATGAGTCAGTTGGCAAAACTTCTTAAGTGGTTAGAAAGATCAATTGAGTTGAATGATTCGTCAGACTTGTAACTTAAATGCTGAAATCTCCAATGTAGGAAGGCCCATAGTCAATAGGCATTAAACTTTGAGTTCTGAGCACGTTTAATACAAAACATGGGAGTATATTGACCCAAGGAGGTGTATAGCGGTATACTGTAAGTGATCTTCCTGCATAGTTTAATTGAATTCCAAAGAAGTTAACTCACGCTAGAAATAGTAGACCCTTAAGTTCGTTCTTTGCTAAAGTGGACAATCTGTTTCTTCTCTATATACTTGTCTGCTTTGAGGAACATTCAGCAAGAATACCATCGGTGCTGCTGTGGAACAAAACCAAACAGTGAGCAAGACTGACTTACAAACATTGCCTTACACTGTCTGCACTTAGCCTGAGAGAATGCTGTCTATATAAACAAGAAACCAGGTTTCCTCATTATTTGCTTTCACTGTGAGATTTCCCTGATACATCTGAAATGCAGTTTTGTCTCAGCAACAATGCAGCTAAACTCTGCTAGCTACTGTGGTGAATTTTGAGGGATGCATTGCAGCATGAATGCTCATGTGAAATACAGTCCAAACATAACTATTTTGGAAGACCAGGCAACATTCTTATTTTATTTCTACGCTATTTTTGGAGTAAAAAAGAAAACATAAAAATTGGTACAATGAAAGCATAAGATTAAAGAGAATTGATTATATCTCCATATAACCATAAAAATCATTGGGGGGAAATTTTTTTACTTCAACTTTTGCATAGTTGCAATTATTGCATGTTTATGTGATTATGCAAAGAAAGCACCTGCATCTTTTCCATTTTTAGATAACCTTGGAGTAGAATTTTTCACAAACTTAATTCTCTACTGTGAAACTTTCTCAGGAGGAGCGGGGAGAAGGGAGAAAGATGCTTATGAATGCATCTAACTTTTAAGCACTGGATGAAATAAGAAATAACACAAAATAATATCAGGAAGTTCTTGAATGGTTGTCTTCTGAAGAGACATGCTGGACACTAGTCTGGGGGAGCAGCTTCTGACTGGAATTAGGGTTCTTCCCAATTCTTTAATATTTCTGTGAGAAAATGTTTTGTCTTCATAAAAGGTAGTAATGGTAGCATCTTAACTCAATTATAGCTAATCCTGCAAGTCATTTCGTAGTTGTTTTTAGATTGCTGCATTTTTAAGGTGAATTAATTTCTAATAAAAGGGGTTTTTTAAGGGCTTCTTGGTATAATGCATTTGAGACACCAGCAGATAGTATGATGTCTGAACCATTAGATGTGTTCTTTGATCATCTTTTTCTAACTACTCAAGCTGTTTGTTTGTCTCCATTTAGCATTCTCTAAATCCATACAGAACTCATCATAAATTGATTTTTAATTGAACTTTGTGGACACTAGTGTCATTAGCTGTCAGTAGTTGTAATTATTGTTTGTTCAAAGAATGAAACAGGATTTTGAAATGCACACAAGACAATGCCCTAAAATGAACAATCCCTATTTAAAAAAAAAAAAAGTGTTTTGCTCTTTGCTGTCCTCTGCACTCCAGGAATGTATGCCGTCAAGAAAATTTTATCAGTAACCTTGTTCTTCCTCTAAGTTACAAGACACAGAAGTGCTGAAATGTGTATTTTATATTTTTAATTATAATTTAAATACACTGTTTCTTTGTTTATTTCTGTTCTGTTTTCAATTTAACCCACACACGTGGTGTGTTGTTCCTAGTGGTCTCGCTGTTTCATATCATTATAAAAAAGCATGTCCTAAAGTGATTCTCAGTTCAGCATCTTATCTCCCCCTTTTTAGCTTGCCATTGTAAATCTTGCTTTCTAGTCTACTACTTTTAATTGGAATGTATTTTACATTGTTGCTTATACAATTTCCAGTGAATGACTGGGAGTAGAAACTGCCCTGATGCTCTCACATAATAACACTCTGCTGCATCCCATTCGCTGGAATAGTTTCTATTGTTTTGCCTTCCAAAACGTTTTGCCTTGTTGGCTTTTCTCTTCATTGAAAGAGACTAAATGTTATTAAATGAATTTATGTAAAAAGAAAGCATGCTTTGGCAGATGCGATCAGTTTTCACAGTGGAGTATAAAGTCTGTCGCCCTTACAGGTCAAGCTTTTCTTTCAGTTCAAGGTATATGTTCCAAATAATATAACTTACTAGACCCTTACATGTCATCTTTTCTGGAAAGATAATGCTTTGTTAGAGGAGCTTTCCAAGTTGCTTTTAACACTTAAAATATACATGAAATAAAATACCCTCTAATTACCATGACTATCAGTTTAATTAGAAATGTTTTAGTGTTGCATAAAGAATGCAAGTCACATGTAATGTCTGAGTGCATCAAAAATGTATGACCTAGTAAATACAGCACTCATGTAAAACACACATCCAGCATGTTACTGTAACTAGTATAAGAACCTTGCCAAATGATTAATTCATGAGTACTTTCTGTTATGATCTGTATTATCAAACATTTGCCATCTTCTTTTTCCTTGTTTTAGGTACCAGCAGACAGGTGTTAGGTGGCTCTGGGAATTGCACTGCCAGCAGGCAGGAGGAATTCTGGGAGATGAGATGGGATTGGGCAAGACCGTCCAGATAATTGCCTTCTTGGCAGGTCTGAGCTACAGCAAGATCAGGACTCGTGGTTCAAATTACAGGCAAGTGCTCCTCTGCAGACTGTCAGTCTGTGGAGCTCAATTAATATTTCATCAGATGTATTGCTGGTGGAGGAGGGTCCTGTGAATTATTAATGACATTTCAATTACAATATTCCTTTAATTCTTTTAGTGGGGGACATCAAAGGAAAAATTTTACGAGACAATGGAGCTGTAGGGCAGGAAAAATTAAACATGTAACACTTTTAATGAATTCCAGGCATTGATGCTTCATTTTGCAGATGAGCCGCACTAGATATTTTGGGTCAATACAGTGTCTAAGGTTAGCTTCCACAAATGGATTGTTTACAAACTCAATTACATTAATATCAATAGTTTACACAATATGGAATTTTAAATTAGATGTAATACCTTTAGTTCCATTTATTAAATTTTACATTAAAATATTTGTTCTGGCAAGCCACCAGGTAGATGCTTTACAGGAAGTAGCAAGCTGATTTGCAATGAAAGTTAGAGTTTCTGATCGACAGGGAATTACCGATGCCAAAAAAATAGTAGTAATAGTAAAAACAGTGACTTATACAGAGGAATTTCCATCTGCTTTTTTTTATTATTGTTGCTTTTCAAAACTATGTTAGAGTGACTGGCCTTTCTTACAAGATCTTTTATGCTTTTTTGTTGCTGAACAATGCTTTAAAATTCCTTCTTCATAGGTGAAATTACCAGAAAAGGTACTTGTTGGTGTCCTTGGATTTACAAATGCACGCATGAATAATACTTGATTTTTCTAGTTCTGTTGGCCTGTTCACCTGATGTAAATTACTACATGCAATTAAGCAAATATCATAGTACTATAGTAAACAAAAATAATTAACTTTCTATAGAGGCATATTTAATTTATGTTCAGCATGTACATGAATTGTAAAATAATGCTTTAAAGAGAAAATATTACTGTGTTTTCTCGAGATGCTTCCTACTGTAGCCTTTATATAAAAAAGGTCCTCCATCACTCAGGCCAGTTGGTTTACTTTGATATGGCTGCCTGATTTAAGGATGCTACTGTACAGATTATTTTGTGTAGGTATATTCCCTGCCCCAGTTGGAGGACCACTGGGGTTGATGGAAATCCTTCAGGAACATCTCTTGACATTTTTACGCAGTTACAGCTTAAGACCTAAGATACTGCAGTGAAACTACAATAAAACTTTGAAAAGGCCAAAATATAATTGCACGCCTAAGTTGCAGTGTTCTTTCTGCATGTAAGATAATGTGTTCTGTTTCATTTTTTGGCTGGTGCATGTCATTAAGTCGATCATGGGAGGAAACCTCCACGGGAGGAAACAAGGTTTAATTTTTTGGTGAAACTTACTCTGATTTTGCTTGTGCGCTGTAAGGCAGAGGGTCCAAACAACTTGATCTTTGCACAGTCAAGTATTTTCCCCATCTGCACTCTGAACTAGGAAGGCAGTAACACTGCCTAGCTAGCTTCTATCTGAAAGCCGTGTAGTCTAGTAAGCCGAAGACCTTCTGGTCAGTCTGGCTGAGAAGCAGGCATTAAGAGTGGACACAGTTGTGTTGTCAGCATGTTTAAATGTCTTCCAGCCTAGTTCGTATCTCATTACCTTGACGTGTAGATGGAGCTAGTGTACTACTGTATGAATCTGGCGCTGCAGGCTTTCCCAGCCTCAGCTGGCCTTCTGTAAAATGGAGATAATACTGTCATTCCTGTGCAGAATTGCAATGATTGTTGTATTTGGGGGCCCTTGAGTATTAAGACAATAGAATCACTTTTGTTGACATTCAAAATATTCAGCTTTATTTTCTATCAGTGACACTTTCTGCAAAAGTATTCTTTAAAATGTGAGTAGAAATTTCCTTTTGTAAACCGCTTCTGCTTCCAGTGTTTTTCTGATTTTGAAGGAGCCTGAAGACTAGCTGAAGTAAGGAACTACTTCTTACATGGAGTATGACTATTACAAAAATTGTCTCACTTTTAACAGTTATTGAGCCATACAGCTGCGGAAAGCCAAATGTCCTGTGAGGTATCAGTAGAAGTGGTGCAGCTATGGTGGTGTAAGGATATAAGGGAAGCAACATTTATAGAGGGGGAAAGTTCTTTTGTTAGACAAGCTGAGATAGTTGGAACAAGCAACAGCTTTCAGACCAATGGTCCCTTCACAAGAAAAAACAAAGCAGCAGCAAACTTCAGGTAACCCGTCTCTAGCCTGTTATCTAGGTTGAAAACTGTTGTTGAAACCTGTTGAAGGGCTTGGGGGTCCACAAGTTTGCTTGTTTCCAAATACATTATTTTGTTTAACAAAGATGTTACCTTCCACTACAGACTTTGCTTCATTTATTTGAGACATCAGATGAGAAACTCTGCCATAAAGTTTATACGCTGATTATTTACTCGTCTGTGCTCTTCAAGATATTGAGATATAATCATACACATTAAACATTAAGGCTCAGTCTCTACTATGAGTGACAGGGAGATTAATTTCCATGGTGCTTACATAAATAAAAACCCATTGCCCCAGCAAATTTGTATTGCTCTTGCTGCCCTGTTCTTTTATTTTCACTAGGATTTAGTTGTCATTTCAGTTTCATTTTGAAGGCATGATTTGCCAGTGCTTGGCAATAGAGTTGGTTATAGTGCACCATGGTTTCCTTTGCTAATTTTTGAATACTTAAAGATTATAAATATAGTATGAATACAGCTTCCTTTTTCTTGGTAATAAGTTGCAGGAATAGATCTTATACATCCAATTAAATAAGAACTAATAATAATACTTACTGTGAATTGGGGTTTTATAAACCAGAAGCAACAGAAAAAGAAAGAGATTTGGGTATATTGATCATACATGATATTGACCATGAACTATTAGCACTGTGCAACTGTGAAAAAGGGGCAGAATACATTACAACAATATATTTGGGGTAGGAATAGGGCAGTATTAGTATCCTGGTACAAGGCACCAGTAAGACTTTGGTTTGGAATGTTATTAGAATCATAGAATCGTTTAGGTTGGAAAAGACCTTTAAGATCATCAAGTCCAACCGTTAACCTAGCACTGCCAAGTCCACCGCTAAACCATGTCCCTAAGCACCACTTCTACACGTCTTTTAAATACCTCCAGGGATGCTGACTCAACCACTTCCCTGGGCAGCCTCTTCCAATCCTTGACAACCCTTTCGGTGAAGAAATTATTCTTAATATCCAATCTAAATCTCCCCTGGTGCAACTTGAGGCCATTTCCTCTCATCTTCTCGCTTGTTACTTGGGAGAAAAGACCGACCCTCACCTCACTACAACCTCCTTTCAGGTAGTTGTAGAGAGCGATGAGGTCTCCCCTCAGCCTCCTTTTCTCCAGGCTAAACAACCCCAGTTCCCTCAGCCGCTCCTCATAAGACTTGTGCTCTAGACCCACCACCAGCTTCATTGCCCTTCTTTGGACACGCAGTGTCACCTTTATTCAAGGAAAACAAATATAAACTGGATGGGCAGCAGAGCAAATTCTGTTGCAGTGATTAGGAGAATGAAGGATGCCTCCTAAGTGTAGCAAGCAGAAGTGTGTGTTTGTTTAGTTTTGTGAAACAGCACAGACTGGAAGAAGTTAGATGACTCTTTTATATAAAAAAATAAAAGCTCTCAAGAGAAGAATAAAATGTTGGCTAGTGGAAAGTGGTTAGAGCCAGGCTAGACACAGAAGAGGTTTTGCACAACCGAGCGGAGGGGGGGTGAATTTTCTGAAAATTGATCAAAGGAAGTGTGAAGTCTTTGTGTAAGCTGAGGGGAAAAGAAAAAAAAAACCGGTTAAACCCAGCATGTGAGTTTGTTTGATACAGACCAGGGGAATAAACAGAGGTAACTTGTTACTATCCATGAAGAATGAAAAACTAACATGTTCTGGGAAAGTTGGCTTTTTTGCTATACGTATTCTTAAGAGCAGTTGCCTTTTTTGCTATAGATATTTTTAAGAGCAGTAGCAGTGGCTATTTGGATTCGTAGCATAGTTTAAGCTATTTTTTGCATCTCCAACTTCTAACTTCCCCTTGGATTGCTGGGATTTTTTTAATTAGACTATGTAAGGTTGTTATATGATATTTTTTCATAATGGAAGAGAGAAGCAACATTCTGCGTATGTATAAGCTTTTACTAAACAATATTATTTCTTAATGTCAGCAGTTTCAGAAGGCAATGGTTTTTTTTTAAAGCAGGGTATTGCTGGTGTCTGGGAAATCCTTCTTTATTGCTATATGCATGTGATCTTGAATGTGTACTGTGATCTTTTGAATTGTTTATTACCACTTGAATAGTACATAGTCGGCCAGACAAGATCAGTATGTGATAACTGTAGCTATTGTCTTTGTTTGCAAAGACATTTTGTTCTGTTTTTTAAAGAGCAAATATATTTGAAAAATAACTACTAGTAATCACTACCTAGTATATTTCCTATATGATTGTTGGTATTTGTTTGTGACGGTAATATTTCTTGTTTGGCTGTTGTGCGAGAGATTTTTCTCTTCTTAACCTTAAGAGTAGCTCTGAACTTCATATACAGAAAGACTTTGTTTCAAATGTCCTCAGTAATTCTCAGAAACAATCATATGATTATGAATAAGAAACTTATGAGACAGTTTAAGCCCAGCTCAGACCTCAGCTGCTTTAGAGTCCTTGTCTTACCTGTAAATTATGGTGATAATAGTACAGTATTATTACCAACATGAAGCAGAACACCTGTGTGTAAGTCCATTTGTAAGACTCTAGCTACATATTCTTTTTAATAAAAGTAATAAAATAGTTGTTTGTTAATGATTTCTTTTCTCTTATAGAAACAGCAGTCGCCCAAACCTGATTTGTATTACCACAGGAGGAAGTTCCCTTATGCCTCATTGTTTGGAGCTTTTCTATTTTTGTGTTTATCTTGATAGATGCATCCATTAACTGTTCAGTGGATAGGTTCTTACAGCAGTATCCCTTTCATCTTCCTTTAAAAAACCAGACTTCCAGAAAAACAAAGTGCCAATTAATTTCCATAGCTCTCATATTCCACTTGAACTATAAAGTGTGTCATTTTAATATGTGTGTATTTTAATGAGCCACTAATATAGAGTATTTATTTCACATTAAAGGGTTTTTTCTTGAATACGTTATTTTAGGTACCAGGGATTGGGTCCAACAGTGATTGTTTGTCCAGCTACTGTGATGCATCAGTGGGTAAAAGAATTCCACACTTGGTGGCCTCCATTTAGAGTCGCTGTTCTCCATGAAACTGGTTCCTATACCGACAAAAAGGTAATGGTTGACATCCATTTTGTAATTCCAGGAGCTTCTCTTTTTTTTCTTTTGTGCTGGCCAAAAAAAAAAAAACCCAAAAAAACCAAAAAACTGTTCCTGAATGCTTCTTAAAAAAAAAAAACTCTTTCTCTGGTTGTTTTAAAAGAACAAAAAGTTCACTGTCTTGTATAGATTTGTTATGAAACTGGACAAAAAGGGGATGACATGGAGTACATTTATATTATGATCTAGACTAGCGTTGCCTGAACAAATTAAACATAGTAACAGGTTTCATGCTTGAGCTTTGCTTGTACTGTAGTCCATGCTAGAAGTTCCTGACTAGACTGCTTGTACACCAGATGTATGCTTATAGTACTGGTGAATTATTTCCTCGTGCTTTTGTTCATCAGTATGTCATCGATGTAATATTTAATACGTCTTGCTTGCACAGGCAATTTCTCTTCAGTTGGTCAGTATGTCAGTTGATATCACCTAGTCTCATTTTCTTTTAATGACAGTGTTACTTTGTTGGTTTTCTTTTTTTCAAGCAGTGCCTTTTCTGTCTTTTAATTTTCTTGGCCAGTCTCTTAATATGTGTGTTCTTATTCCATTTCTTAAGTTGACAAGCCTGACTTGTCTGAAGTTTCAGTCCTTGGTACCTTGCAGGAACAAAACAAGGAAAACTCAGATTTTTGTTTTCCCATGGCCTCGTATTTCAGATGCTTAAATGGATTTTCAGGATTCAGCAAAGCATTTTTAAATTTCTCTTTAAATATTTATTGAATTTCTTGTAATAACATAAAAATGATGTGGTGCTTAATTGCACTTGATTAAATGTATTCTGAGGTAATTGATGCAGTTACAGTACATGGCAAAAAAGGAGTAGCATGCTCTAATGTGCTAATAGCTTCCTGTTGTTCAATTAACTTGCTATGTTTTCAAGCCCTAAAAGTCTGTTGACCTCAATAACACGCTCCCATGTCTTCCTAAATTAAATCATGTATGCTTATTTTGGGGTATTTGTTAATTAATGCACTTGACAGACTGGCTCAAATTTTTCCATCTGCAGGAATAGTCAGGTTTTCAGGACTTCACTTGCCTGTTGTTGCCCCACAAATGCCTACTCAACAACTTAAAATTAAGGAATTTGATACCATATGATCACTTTAGATAGGTTCAGTTCTCTAATTCTGCCCTAATGCCTCATCTTCTGAGAGCTGCAGCAAAACAAATGTCACTGCTGATGTGGTCTTCACCTCATGCACATTTTTTTCCTAGATACTTCTTAATCAGAGAAGAGCAAGCTTATGACTAAAATTTAAAAAAAAAAAACCAAAAACCAAAAACAAAAGAAAACCCCAACAACAAGACTTTCCCATTCTAGTTGTCCTTATACCTGCAAGAAAAGTTTACTACTAATTTATTAGCATAAATAACACTTGTACACTGAAAATATATCACATAAAATACAGGCCAGGTGATATACTCCTGCCTAGAATTTCTTTTCAATATACATTCAAATATACGTATGAATACGTTAGTGCTGATCTGATCTCATGACAATTCCATCTTCTTCTTCCATCATATGCTTTTGTGTATGTTAACTTTATAATACTCATCCAGGGACCATTTTGCTCTTATGCTCTGGCATAAGGCATAAACTAAAATAAGTTTAAGAAATAAATAAGAAAATTGTGGTTAGACTGCGTAAAAACATATGTTTGTTGTTTGATTGAGATTAATTCTACATGGCCAAAAGCCAAGTCACTGTGCACCTGTGGTCACAATGTTGCACAGACCTGTTTGGAATTAAACTGACAATTCCAGGATTCGCCTGTTGTTCTGTTAGTATGTCATCGTTTATCATGAAGTAAATGAGAAGAGTTTTGTGCTGGACAGCTAACTTGCCAGGAGACAGGACTGAGGAACTGAACATTTTTACCTTCTTTGTAGTGAGAAAGGTCACTTCAGCCTCTGGGCTAACAGAGGTTAGAATAGTCTGGACTGGTAGAAGAACAAAATTGTCCCCCAAATTAACTGGACATCAGACAGTGAGGATCTTAATGGATTTTGAGGAATGCATTATCCTGTAGTAGTTAGCCAGCAGGTTGTTTGTGGTAAAACACAATATTGTAGGCCTGTGAAAGAGGGACAAACGATTTCTAAGGAAGAGAGAAAGATTAATCTTAAAACTAATGAAGGAGAATTTTGGAGGAAAAGAGTTAAGCGATGACAGGTGTCCCGTAAGGCAAGACAGTATTTCATAGCAGAAAGACAACAGCTGAAGTTTCATTTGATAAAACTTAAGTTGATCTTTTAGGTGAGATGGATCTATGTAATTGTCAGGAATCCTGAAATATTAGCAAATATTAAATCTTTAAGCATTGGTGAAATTATATGCTTTTATGAATAGGTATTTTCTGTTGCACCTTCTAAGGTACCCAAGCATCAATGCAAGATCCTGTCTCCCAGTTCTTTAGGCTTGCCCACAGAAGTATTTGCTTGACAGTGAAGAGTGGGGAAGACATCTGTTCTAATTGTTTTATCATAAATTGATAGTAGGCAATACCTTGCACATCTTTTCGGTTAGTGCCACTTCTTCAGTGTTACAAAAGGACTTCTGAGCAGTGTGGTAAGTGAAAGGCTCACTGATCATTACCTTGGCATATCCTCTCTTCCCAGTCCATTTTGGTTTTCTTTGCAAACAACTTTAGGATTTTCCACAATAATAGTATGAAATAACAGCCTGAATTGTGAGCACCGGATTGGCTGCAAGTCTAGTCAGCGTGTTTCAGATGAGCCATTGAGACATCCTGCTTAGATATCTCTGCTGCTATAGTATTTGTGTAGGTTTTTAGCATGTGTGACGCTTCAAAAGAGAGACTACTTCATTCCTTTGCTAAAATAACAATGGTAGACAGTTTTTGGCAGTAAGGGAGAGAAGTGTAAAGTTCCAGTTTCACCCCTTGAAATATGACAGTTTAAAGGCCTTCAGCTATCCACAAGGGAAGGCAGATTGGTATTTTAGACGATGGAAGGAAGACACAATAGCAAGTTGGATAGGTTTCCAAGACTTTAGAGCTAGTTTAAGCATTTGGATGAAATGTAAAACTTGCTTTTTTGTAATGATTTGTGATCACAGAAGATCATTTGGTTCTTTTATGATGATAAATGTGCTTAAGTTGGAAGCAGGAGGAAGAACCAGATTGAAGTAGTAGTCTTCCCCTGTGAAGTCAGCTTTCAGTTTGAACAAGGTACAGCATTTGTGTCCTGTGGTGCTGTCTTAGGCTATTAACTTCCTACTATGGTTTACACTCAAATCTGATGTAGCTTTAAGTGACTTGTAAATATCAAGTGCTCTGAGACCTCTAAGGATGAGAGAAAATAAAGAAGTAAATCTAGTGTAGTGTATCATAAATACTGTTTTATTTATGGTATAGAACAGAAGATAAGGGGAAGAAAGCTCTGTAAGCGTAGGGAAAAAAAGCCTTCTGTACAAAGAGCTTGTCCTGTTGTTTCAAAACTTCTGATGGCACACGAGCATTTGTAAATCATAGAATGTAAGAGGCAACATGAACGTTGGTTATCTTGGTTTAACATATTGCATGTGGAAGGAGGCTGTATTTTTTCAGATCAAGGCTGAACTTTTAATTTCTTGACCTTTAGAACGGGTATCACTGAGCTTAACAATTCTTTCTGGCAGTAATCACATACCATTTGTAAAGCCATAACTTTACATTCCCTTATTCTGGTCAAATGCTGGACACACAATGCAGCCCTCGAAAGCAATTGTCAGTTTATGATGCTTGCACCTGTGGAACCATCTATTTGAAGATGACTTTGCGCGCTGAAGATTTTAGACCTTTTACCCTCACAGTAGAGTACGCAATCTACATGTTAAAGAAAATAAGCTGCAGAAGTTAGTTATTGGCATGACTACATATGGAACCTCTATTTTAGCCAAAGGCTCTATTTCTGAGTTAAGGACCAAATTCAGATAAACTTAGTATCGTGCCACAAGAAGTAGCATTCTTGTTAAATGTGTAGTAAGTGCTTTAGCTCTTTTTATTGCAACTTTTACATTATTAAACATTGTAATGTGTTCTTTTGAAGCCTCTTCATGGTGCCATTTAGATTGTTGTGTTGGGGGCAGGGAAATAATAAAGAGGTTTTATAGGTTGAATTTATGGATCTCTGGGCTTAATGGTTGGTTATGAGATAGTGATAAGCCTGCTGAAGAATGCATTTTTGATTCACAAGTGATATATGGTTGTGTGACTAGATATTATCTCTGTAAGTTCACACTTGCCTTAAAGGTATCTGAATGTTTAGAGAATTTTATAGTTACCGCTAATCTAGTTCTTTAAGTTCAGTCTTAACACATTTCTGTTTAAGGAAATTACCATTTTAAATACGTAATGTTATAGAACGGTGCAGGTCCTCTTAAATATTTTTTAAAAGACTACTTTATGCTAAAAAAGATAAACCTTATTTCTGTAAGCATCAGTCAAAAAAATTGTCCTGTTTTTGTAGCTTCAGAAACAAACTTGTAGCTACAGTGAGGTACCAACAGGAAAAAAATATTTGCTTAGAGGTGTGTCCTTGGAATAAATCATAAACACGTCAGCCTTAAGAAATGGTGCTTGCCAAAAATCTTCCAGTCTTTGTACATTGCATATGTCCTAGTGAAGACAAGGCAATACAATCAACTTATCACCCTAAGTTAGGAGAAAACACTGTCCTTGAATTGTAAAGGCCTGAAATACTGTGCTGAACAGAACTACAAGATCAGAATTACTCGATCTACTCGCATGTTCCTCATATTCATTAGGTTCTTTTAAAGGCCAGAGTTCAGAATTTCAAAGCTAGATAACTGCTGTGAATATTTTGGCATTAGTAGGATTTGTCTCTCTTAAGCTGATGTGGTTTTTTTTAAGTTTAACCATGCGTGCCCTGAAATATTTCATTGAAGTGTATTTCCTGAGAAAAAAGAAAAATAAAATTAAACATGCCTGAATCTAACCAAACAGGAATTGTGAATTAAAGAATACATGATAAAATAGCATAAATTCTGAAATGCCACAGCCTCAAAACAGTGTGTATCCAACATTAAATCTGTTACCATATTTTAAAATATTTAAAATTATTCCAAGTGCTGCAACTAAAGCAAAGGCAACCTCTGAGAAAGTACCCAATGCAGTAAAATGAGAGTTAATAAGTGTTGTGGTGTGAGTTGATAAAATTGTGTTGTTGTATTTCTTCATTGTCAGCACAAATCCTTGTTTATTAAAAATTTAGCTTGAAGGAAATTTTAATTAATTACAGGTTCAGTAAATCCTGACTAGGATTCTGCTGTGGTGTGTTTACAGTGAATGGCCTTCATGTGCCTGTGTTTCACTTCTGTTCTCTCTGCTACCTGACAATGTGATTTATGGCTGTTGTTTTCTACTAGTCCACTGTTTGCCCTCTAGGAGGGATTGGTCTCTTGAGCCTCCATAATAACAGCAGCACTTTCACAAAACATCTTTTAATGACAACAGTGTAGCATTCTGTAAGTCAGGCTAATTGCAGACATACCCTATTAATTGCAAAAACTAGGAGAGGTTACATATTTTACAAGCTTTTAATTTGAAATCGCTCGAGATGATTTGTCTTAAGTGTTTGGGTAGAGATGTCTACAATATTCTATGATAGGCCATTGCTGAGACTCTAGGACACGGTTACAGACTATGGGCAATATACCAGGTCGAATTAAGCTTTGGATGTTCACCCCTGCCTAGAAATCCTACTCTGTCTGTAATACAAATTGTTCTAAAGATTACATATTCTCTTGAGAAACATGATGTCAACATCAAATAATGCGTCATGGGTTTATCAGGAGATGATAATCAGAAAGTAGAAATTCTTGAACAGTTAAACGCAGAACTTTTTGAATCTTGGGGTATGTCTGAGCGAGAAATTTTACAATAAGAGATCATGGACTTTTAACACCATCTGAGTCTTTGAGATGGATTTTTCCCTTTTGTTTTTGTTCATTTTGTTTTGTTTTGTTTTTCTTAAAGACATTTTTAGTAATAAGGATTTTGTCTTTCCTTTAGCAAATTCTGTGGTGGTTCTACTTTTCTTTCTTTTACACTGGGTATGTTTGTTTCATCCAGAATTGCCTCCCAGCCCATCATCTTCTGTTTAAGTCTTCTAGATTTATACGTGGAGGATAAATGCAAGAAAGATGAGTCTTGAATACTGTGAGTGCTGTGGAAGGTGATATAGACTGTCCCTGCCTTACGTAATTTACAGCTATAAAGGCTAGTAAAAACTTGGGGAAGGGATATACTTTACAAGAGAAGCACAAAATTTGAAGATTAATAAGAAATATATTAATCCTATTAATGAGAGAGGTTGGACAGAATTTATGATTAACCAAGTAGATTTTTGTGATTGTTTCTCTGTTTTTCACTTGCTTAATTTTCCTCTAACGTTCTAGATCTTGCGTGCAGTACACAAAGCTGGGTTTGTGAGGTGAATATAGGAGAACTTGAAGAAACTAGTTACTTTAATCAAATTTAATGTTTGTTTTTTCAGACATTGCCTTTAAAAAAAACAAACAAACCACTATTTCCTTCTGATGAGGCTTCAGGTCACATTCTGATCTGTTATAACACAGTATTCAAGTGCTTCATTCTTTTACAGATGAGCTAAGAATCATATAATCAAAATCTTGCCTGTACTTATTTTCTTTGCAAAGTAAATTATATATCTGCTTTTTCAAAACTTTTTGTATGTACCTTGGACAGTAAACCTGTAGTTCAGTAGGTCTGAGTTTTCTGTCTCGCTGTTGCTGACAACGTGCACCTTTTGCTTTTAGGTGAAACTAATTCATGAAATTGCTTCATGCCATGGAATTTTAATTACATCTTATTCATACATTCGAATGATGCAGGATAACATCCACAGCTATGATTGGCATTATGTGATTCTGGATGAGGGTCACAAAATCCGAAATCCAAATGCCGCCGTCACGCTTGCGTGCAAGCAGGTACTTTATAAAAAATAAAGATTTTAAGCACCTGGGGGGAGGGAGGGGTGTATGTGTTCCAAAACCTAATAGCCTGTATTACTTTACGGTAAAAATACACGTTTGACTATTAATAAAGAATAAAAGCATAAATCACAATGGTCTGTATTTGCCTATTTAATTTACTTAACATTTTTTATGAGTTTACATCAGTAAATTTACAGAAGTATAGTAGAGAAGAAAAATCAGAAATTTTAAATTGTGTAGTAATTTACCACCAGGGATAAATGTCAGGTTGCTGGTGTTCATTTTCTGCTAATAGTTTATGGACAATATATTGCAGAAAGCTGTTTATTTCAGGAATATGAGGCCACATATTTTAAAATGAGAATTCATTGATGGTGAAATTGAATATCCTCTGAGGCAGGAGGCAGGTTACACCATGAACCATGAAAATAACTTTCTTTTGGTGTTGTGTTTTTTATTAATAGTTCCGCACACCCCATCGAATCATCTTGTCTGGCTCCCCTATGCAAAATAACCTAAAGGAGCTCTGGTCCCTCTTTGACTTTGTATTCCCAGGGAAATTGGGAACACTACCTGTGTTCATGGAGCAATTTTCTGTGCCAATAACCATGGGAGGATATTCCAATGCCTCTCCTGTCCAGGTAAATGCATCAAAAATATAACTTTGCTTGAAGGAAACGGTTATGTTGTTTCTAAAATGACTTTTAAATGTACTTCATGCTGTATGTTCTAGACACT